GCTTGCGTCTCTTGCTTTTTGCGAAGAATTCAGAAGAAAGGTGCTTCTGGTTTCATTTTCAATATATACTAGAGGTGCCAATTGAATCCATTAAGGCAAAATCCATCTAATCCATTCATCCAATCCACCCACCACACAAAAAATAAGTTAATGGATTGGATTAAATCCATCCATTTATATGCATGGATGGATTCAATCCATCCAAAATATTTTAAGGATCCAATTGATAATTTTTATTTTCGTTAGATTTATTTTTTTTAAAATAGATTTTTTAAAAATAATTAAAAAACTATATATTTTTTCTGAAAAAAAAAGTTTAATTTTTTTGAAAAAAAAATCTGTTTTTTTTTTCCGAAAAAATCGGTTTTTTTTTTCAGAATAAAAAACTCTATTATTTTCCGGAAAAAAAAAAACTTTTTCTCGAAAAAAAACCGACATTTTTTTTGGAAAAAAAGTCGATTTTTTTTTTCAAAATAAAAAACTGATTTGTTTCTCGAAAAAAACCGACTTTCTTTTTTGGAAAAAATCGATATTTTTTTCGAAAGAAATCGATTTCTTTTTTCATAATAAAAAACTGATTTGTTTTTCGAAAAAAAAAAATTTTCTCGAAAAAAACTCGTTTTTTTTTTCAGAATAAAAACTGATTTGTTTTTCGAAAAAAAAAATAAAATATTTTCTCGGGAAAAAAAACCGACTTTTTTTTGGAAAAAAAATCATTTTTTTTTCAGAATTAAAAACTTATTTGTTTTTTGAAAAAAAAACTGATTTGTTTTTCGAAAAGAAAATAAAATTTTTTCTCGAAAAAAATATCGATATTTTTCAAAAATTATAATATTGATTTTTTTTTTAAAATACAAAAAAAAATCAGTTTTTTTAATAAATATATTAAAAAATATTTTTTTTTTAAATACAAAAAATAAAATCAATTTTTTAAAAATAAAAAATATATATTTATTTTTACAAAATAAAAAAAAAGTTGGATGGATGGATATCCATCCATTAAAAATATGTTAATGGATGGATGAATATCCATCCATTAAAAATATGTCACTGGATGGATTGGATGGATTTTATTCTTAATGGATGGATTGGATGGGATAATTTTAAGAAAATTTTAGTGGATTGTTAATGGACTAATGGATTGTTTTAATCCATCCATTAACAATCCAATCCATATCCATCCAATCCATCCATTTTGCCACCCCTAATATATACCCCTACGGGTGTATAATATAGGTATCTTCAATATATATCCCCCTACGGGTATATAGCCTAAGTATCTTGCGTACCAAGCTTGTATGAGTTGTCTTCATCAAAACACAAAGGCCTTGAAGCTTGCTTCTACAGTTATATCTGTGGCATACTTGTGTTGATGGAGAAATATGCCCTTAAATGTAGAATGAACCTCAATATCAAGAAAATAATGCAAATTACCAAGATCTTTCATATGAAACGATGCTTGTAACTGTTGTTTAAGGCTTTGAATGGAAAACATGATCAAAACCAATAATAATCATATCATCAACATATAAAAGAAGTAGGACAATTATAGTAGGCGTTCTATGAATAAACAAAGAAGAATCATATTAACTCTGAGTAAAGGAGAACCCAAGTATAGTGGAGCAAAAATTTTCATACCACACTCTAGGCGCTTGTTTCAAACCGTATAAGGAGCGTTTGAGCTTACACACACCCTTAGATGACAAGAATAAACCTTGAATTCACATCAATTTGATGAAAATACCACTTGTTAGAAGCAGTTATAGAGAGTACTGTATGAACATGTCATATTTGGCAACCGGTGCAAATGTCTCATCATAATTAATTCCATATTCCTGCTTATATCCCAAGGCAACCAATCTAGCCTTGAAATGATTGAAAGACCCATCAGAGTTTAGTTTCACATAATACACTCATTTGCATCCTACGGGTTTGATATCAGGGGGACAAAAGACAATATCCCATGTAAAATTCTCTTGAAGAGCCTGAAGTTCCTCATTCATTGCTTTTAACCAGTGCACATCATTAACAACATGTGTATAACAAGTAGGAATAAATATGCTAGACAGTGAGGTGGTCAAAGAAGTATGTAAGGAATCATACCTGTCTGATGAATATCTATCTGGTGCTCTAAATATTTAACCAGAACGTTGTGATTCGATCGACTCAGGATTAAGTGGCAGATCAGTGTTGGGAGAGGCAGTGGAAACCTATTTTCTGCATTATTTGGAGTATGTAATTTCTGGTTTGTAACGTTGTATAGATCTACACATAAATGAAAAATTAGGAAGAATAGCAATATCATTTGTGGTTGGTGCAAGAGAATGAAACATATATTGATTATAAAAAAATGTAACATTCCTAGAAACTTGAAAGTGGTGACTAGAGACATCATGACACACAAACCCCTTATGAGAGTTGCTATACCCTATAAATGCGCATTGAATAGACTGTGCCCCAAGCTTATTTTGTTCAAGCAGAGGTAAGTGAACAAAACACATACATCCAAAAGTACGCAAATCACTATAATTAGGCTGAGATTTAAAAAGACGAAAGAAGGGAGAATCAAAATCAATAAACGTATAAGGAAGACGATTAATTAAGAATACAACTGTGGAAAGAGCCTCCATCTAAAATTGGGATGGCACTGAAGCTTGAAAAAGTAAGATGTGTGTTACGTCAAGCAAATCATGATTCTTTCGCTCTGCCATCCCATTTTGTTGGGGGTATTGGGACAAGATCGTTGATACAAGATCCCTTTTTGTTGAAGGTATTTCTGAAATTCATGAGACATATACTCACCTATCGAGTCAGATCGAAATTTTTTAACACTTGCTTGAAATTGATTTTCAACATATGTCAAAAACTTCTGAAACATAAAAAACACTTTAAACTTAGATCTAAGAAAATATATCTAAGTAAAACGAATGTAATCATCAATAAGTGTGACAAAATATTTATAGTGAGCATGATATGCTACAGAAGACATTCCCTATACATCAATATGAATCAACTCAAAACAAGTAGAAGCACGATGAGCACCTGGCGGAAAAGGAAGTGTTTTACTTTTATCCAATTTGCAAACATAACATGAAACAGAAGCAGTACAAGCATGTTTATTTCCCAACAAACAAGTTTTAAATAAATGAAACAAAAGAACCGAGTTTGAATGGCCCGATTTTCTATGTCAATCCTCATAAGAGTTCAAAACAGTATTATACACAAAAGATGCAAGAACAAAATCCACGAACAGTGCAACTCGCGAAGAGTACAACCACACTAATTAGAAATCGTACAACCTACAAACAACAACAAAATTCAATACCTCGAATTGAAAGGAGTGACATAACCAAATGATAATCACGATCCAGAATCACAAACCAAAAACAACCGAGAACCAAAAAATCAAAATTGCAACCGCAAAAAAACCCAGTCACGACCCATAATCACTATTCGTGAAAGGATCGCAAAGCAAACCGAAACCCTAAACCCCAAACCACGATGACAATCTGCGCGAAACAAATTCCACAGCGATTAATCAGGACCCAGAAACCATGAACAACAAAACTAGAGCGATCAAGATGTTGTCGCGTCAGAGAGAAAAAAACAATCAGAACCAGAAAATCTCAAGTTTAATCTACGAGACTAATACTATGTCAAGAATTATTGACTTGATATCTTTCTCATTGTTATTTCTCGCGCGTGTATATATATATATATATATATATATATATATATATATATATATATATATATATATATATATATATATATATATATATATATATATATATATATATATATATATATATATATATATATATATATATATATATATATATATATATATATATATATATATATATATATATATATATATATTAATATTATAGGGTTATACAAGTAATTACACTAAATAATTACATTGAGAACAAATCGATTCCTAATTTATTTTCCTTAATCTAAGAGCACAAATTAACTTCTTATTCACAAATATTTCATTGATATCTTTAAATAATTTAAAATTTAAAACAATTTATCTATAAACTTAAAATTTAAAAAATTTAAAAGAGAAATAATATTATTACGTGTCTTATATTATAAGATATAAACACATTATGTTATTGTAATGTTATTTATCTTGTCTTATAAATAGAAAAACTATATAAAAAATCTATGAGTGTTTAATTATTTAAATATTTCATTGAAACCCGAAAAACATTAAAATCAAATTCGAAGCTAATTTGACTATTTGTAACTTTATTCCATTTTATAGATATATGTTTAGTTTTGTGTCTCTGTCATTTACGGTAACGTTACTTTTCCATACACCTAAATTCATTGAACTTGACCCTCATAAATATTAATATTTTATTCTAATTTTATTCAAAACTTTATATTATTTTTACAACTTGTTCTGCTAATATCAAAAAATACAACTTGTTTCTATTATATTATATTATATATACAAAAATTATTATTCTTTTCTTTTTCTTTTTCTTTTCCTCTTTGTTCAGTTCTCTTTCTCTTCTTCCTTTGCAGCTATATTCATTTCAGTTCCATGTAAGTTTCATAGATCACACTTATTCTTTTATTTTTATTTTTTATGTTTAATTTAATTCACTTCGATTTGTTAATTTATTATTAGTTTATATTTGTTTGTAAATTACCTTGAATTTTTTGTGAAGTATGTAAATTGTAAAGTTTTAGGAGCTGAATTTCAGATACTAATTTGGTTTATGATAGTGTTTAATTTTAATCTGAACACTGGGTAGCACAGTTTTTGTTTTTTGTTAGGTATATGAAATTAAGGGTGAGGTGATTTTGGGGGTTTATGTAGCATTGGGATAATGCTGCTGGGTTTTGAAATTAGGTTAATTGTAGTTAGTGTTTTGAACAAATTGTTATGTATATGATGCTTAGATTTTCCTATTTTTGTTATGTAGTTATGTGATAAAGGGTGAATCGGGTGAGGTGGTTCAATGTTCAATTCGATCACTATGGAATCCTGCAATTGTGTGGAGCCGCAATGGCCGGCGGATGATTTATTAATGAAGTATCAATATATCTCCGATTTCTTCATTGCCCTTGCTTATTTCTCAATCCCGCTCGAGCTTATTTACTTTGTTAAGAAATCAGCGGTATTTCCGTATAGATGGGTTCTTGTTCAGTTTGGTGCCTTCATAGTTCTATGTGGAGCAACACATCTGATTAATTTATGGACCTTTACAATTCATACGAGAACCGTGGCGATTGTAATGGCCACCGCTAAGATTTTAACTGCTGCGGTATCTTGCGCCACTGCCCTTATGCTTGTGCATATTATTCCTGATCTATTAAGCGTTAAAACTAGGGAGTTATTTTTGAAGAAAAAGGCTGCTGATCTTGATAGAGAAATGGGTATGATTCGTACGCAGGAAGAAACCGGTCGACATGTTAGGATGTTGACTCATGAGATTAGAAGTACTCTTGATAGACATACAATACTGAAAACAACACTTGTTGAACTCGGGAGAACTCTTGGACTAGAGGAATGTGCGTTATGGATGCCGACACGTACTGGGTTGGAGCTTCAACTCTCTTACACGCTGCGACAGCAGAATCCTGTTGGATATACAGTACCTATCAATCTTCCTGTGATTAACCAAGTATTTAGTAGCAACCGCGCGGTTAAAATTTCATCAAATGTTCCAGTTGCTAGATTACGGCCTCATACTGCAAAATACATGCCGGGAGCTGTAGTTGCTATCCGAGTGCCTCTCTTAAATCTTTCTAATTTTCAAATATATGATTGGCCCGAGGTTTCAACTAGAAGCTATGCTTTGATGGTTTTGATGCTTCCATCTGATAGTGCTAGACAGTGGCACGTACATGAGTTAGAGCTCGTTGAGGTAGTTGCCGATCAGGTTAGTAATTTTCCTTTTCAATCATATTTCCTTAGATGTCATTTGCTTTTCTTTTTTTTTTTATCAGACCAAAATTACTTATTACAATTGTCTCCTACACCAGGTAGCTGTTGCGCTTTCGCATGCTGCAATTTTAGAAGAGTCGATGAGAGCAAGGGACCAGCTTATGGAGCAGAATGTTGCACTTGATATGGCTAGAAGAGAAGCCGAAACTGCAATTCATGCTCGCAATGACTTTTTGGCTGTTATGAATCACGAGATGAGAACTCCGATGCATGCAATTATTGCACTCTCTTCATTGTTACAGGAAACAGATATGACGGCCGAGCAACGTCTGATGGTGGAAACAATATTGAAAAGCAGCAATCTATTGGCTACGCTCATCAACGATGTTTTAGATCTTTCACGACTCGAAGATGGCAGTTTTCAGCTTGAAACAGCAACGTTTAATCTTCATTCAATGTTTAGAGAGGTAAATTTTCGCGTAAATCCTAAAAAACTCAACTTTAGTAGTCTGTTTAGTAGCTTATGTTCTTTGATTTTCTTAAAAAGCTTGATGATGTTACATTTTGTTATTCTGATTGCAGGTCCTTAACTTGATTAAACCTGTCGCATGTGTTAAAAAGCTGTCACTCACTTTACATTTCGCACCAGATTTGCCGGTGTATGCAATTGGTGATGAAAAGCGTCTCATGCAAACTCTTCTCAATGTTGTTGGTAATGCTGTTAAGTTCTCAAAAGAGGGAAGCATTTCAATCACCGCATTTGTTGCAAAGCCTGAATCCTTCAGGGATATTAGATTTCCTGATTTCCTACCAGTGCCAAGTGATGGCCACTTTTATTTGCGAGTACAGGTTTGTTTCTTCAAGCGTGACTAATATTCTTGTGTGGTGTATTGTATCCTCTATTATCTGATTTCATTGGTGGAATGATTTTTTTCACCGCGCATTATAGGTAAAAGATTCAGGATCAGGAGTCAATCCACAAGATATCCCGAAGTTATTTACTAAGTTTGCACAAAACCAATTAGCGACAAGAAATCCTGTTGGAAATGGGCTTGGCCTTGCAATATGCAGAAGGTAATTATATCATTACGAAAATGGAATTTGCTCCCTTCAAAATCTTTACTTGTGATTTCCTATTGATTGTGTACATTATTTTTAAAATGTGAGCAGGTTTGTGAATCTCATGGAAGGCCATATTTGGATCGAAAGCGAGGGTATTGGTAAAGGATGTACAGTCAGTTTTATTGTGAAACTCGGAATCCCAGACCGATCAAATGAGTTTAAGCTACCTTATAAACCTAAAGCTCTTGTAAACCATGGATCTACAAACATTGCCGGTCTCAAAATTCTCGTCATGGATGATAATGGGTCAGTAACAGCTTCATTTCCACACTTTCAGTTCAAAAATTTGTTACTATGTCACTTATTTGTTATTTAAATATTCTGGTTATTTTATAGTGAAGTAAACTTAGGTTGATTTCTTACTTCCCTAGAAGAACAATGTTTTAAAAATTGAACCGAATAACGAAGCAGTAGGACCTCCTCGTCATGGTTCAACAATTTTAAACCTATTGAACCAGGACAAAACTGCATTTGAACTGTTCAAATACCTGAACCGTAGAGAATGCTAGTTCACAATTCAATCGATTCAACCGTCTAGTTTGGTTTTTAAACTATTGTCTATGACTTAGTTTGATCCATTTAATTGACTCCACTTAATAACAAAAGACTTGACGGTGTATTAAGTTGTAGCCGTTTTTGTATTGGCTTCTGTGAGTTTATCTATTGTCACAAGTATCTGTTTCAGAGAGCTTATGAAAACAAACTATGGTATACCATAAGTTCTCCAAGATAGTAAGTGTTTAATTATGTTGTTTATCCAAACCATATCAATAAATATTTCTAGTATAAATTTAAACTTAGGTGGAGATATGTGAATTTGCATCTTAACAATTTGTATGTTCACTGACATTTTCACTTAATAGCCTGACAAGAAAAGATCCATAATGTGTGCAGTTCTGATTCAGTCATTCACTTTCTACTTGCAATCTATAGAACTCAGAAATCAAAAGAATTGTTTAGTGGCTGATATATTTGCTGTGTTTACTCTTTTGCTTGATTGTCGCATAACACACGGCGAAACTTGTAACGCAGGGTGAGCAGGTCAGCCACGAAGGGGCTTCTTATGCATTTAGGATGCGACGTCACTACTGTAGGCTCGAGCGAAGAATGCATGCGTGTTGTTTCGCAGGAACACAAAGTGGTCTTCATGGATGTTTGTACAGGGTTAGATGGTTATGAATTAGCGGTTCGTATACAAGAGAAGTTCGTGAATCGTCAAGATAGACCACTTATAGTTGCTCTCACCGGAAACACCAACAAGTGGAGTAGAGAAAACTGTACGAGAGCTGGTGTGAATGGCCTTGTTTTGAAACCTGTTTCTGTTGAGAAAATGAAGGGTGTTTTAATAGAACTCTTGGAGCGGCGATTTGTGTTTGAAACGGTTTAAACTACCATAATGTCTTACTATTATGAAAAACTTTTGTTGTACATACCAAAACCAAATTAGCAGAGACGCGGATTTATAATGTATGGAGGAACTCAATCGAAAAGGCGTAAAGGAGGCCCTAGGCCACTGCTGAGTATGGATTTGTTAAATCCATTTTTGTTAACAAAGTTCATATATAAACATATTCATTTTTGTATAATTTCAGGCTTTTGATGTTTTGCAGTGGTGGTGAAATTTCATTAACAGACTGTTTCAAAAAAAAAACATTTAGTCAAGACCAGGATCATGTCTCAACATTCTGAAAACAGATGGAAAAATAAATGCTTCTATTTAACTGTCATTGACAATCCGCAGTAGTTCAAAGCTGAGCTTCAACATTCACAACATTTGTACAGTCTAAGCAACAAGAATGTTAATAAATCTACAAAATTTACAGGTCAAGAAGTTGAAACTCATGTGGTTGGATTACCAATAATCATTGCAAGAGCATTTGCCATTCTTGATGTGATGAAACCGGTTTGAATCTAACTCATGTGGTTGGATTACCAATAATCATTGCAAGAGCATTTGCCATCCTTGATGTGATGAAACCGGTTTGAATCTCTCAGAACAATCTCTCTTCCAGTGACAGTTGATATATACTTTATCGCCGAATGGCAGTCGCCACAAACACGAAGGTTCTTAAATACCCTTATAGGTTTTGAATTTGGTGTACTAATAAGTGCAAACGCAACTGCAAGTTTTTCACTGTGTTGAAATAGATACTGTTCCTTTTGTTCATCCTCCACATCATGAAGAACAAAATCTGTGTTTGGAACATAACCTACATTCTTTATTTTTAAAGCCAATTCATCAAGTTTTTCATATATTTTTTGAGCTTTAGGGTGTAAAGTATCTCCTACATGGAATTTGTGCACCTGGTTCTCAACCTCAATCCAACTAGAACCTGCTTCTTTTGTTATCTGTTTCTGTTTCATTCTTTTCCTAATGGCTGCTACATCATCCCACCGCCCTTCCGAAGCATACAAGTTCGACAATAGTATATAGGTAGCTGGATCATGAGGTTCCCGTTCAAGTATCATTTTTGCAGCATATTCCCCAAGCTCGGTGTTCTGGTGAACCCGACAAGAACCAAGAAATGTACGCCACACCAATGCATCGGCATCAAAAGGCATTGAGTTTATAAATTCAATAGCCTCTGAAAGCAATCCAGATCGACCAAACAAATCAACCATACATGCATAATGCTCCATCCTTGGAACAATTCCATGGCTCTTGCGCATGGAAGTGAAGTGTTTCCATGCTTCGTCAATTAAACCAACATGACTACATGCTGATAAAACTGCAATGTAAGTGACATCATTAGGCTTCACACCTGTTAGAAGCATATCAGAGAACAATTCTAGTGCCTTTGTAGCAAAACCATGCTTTGCAAAACCATTTATGATAGAGGTCCATGTTATGACATTGTGATCCTCCATGTCATTAAAGACCTGTAAAGCAGCTTCTTTGTTTCCACACTTGGAATACATAGAGATCAAAGCATTATTTACATTTAGGTCAGTCCCAAATCCCATCTTCACCACCATGGCATGAATTTGTTCACCCTTACCAATTGTACCAATACAAGCAGCACCACTCAAGAGGCTAGCATATGTAAATGAACTAGCTCCACCACCAGTGTATTCAATTCCGCGGTCCACGTCTTGTTCAGAATTCGAATTCGAATCTTTCACACTTGCATCATCAACAACCCCACTACCCAAAACCAAATTCTTCTCAAATAAAACATCAAAACACTTTTGAGCACTTTCCATTCTCCCAGACCTTGCATACAAACTAACAAGACCATTCCCTACACAATCAATCTCAGAAAGGCCTAATTTAATCGTTTGTCCATGAATCAGTTCACCAAACCCAAAATCAGGAAGACTGGCACAAGCCTTGAGAACACCCGAGAACGTGAAATAATTCGGCGCAACACAACCTTGAAGCATCATATCACCAAACAATCTCATAGCCTCCCATTCTTGCCCTCCCCCACCTCGCACATATCCATTAATAAGCGCAGTCCACGACATCACATTATGATCCGTCATACCATCAAACACTCTCCTAGAATCTCGTATTAACCCACATTTTGCATACATATCAACCAAACTACACCCAACACACAAATCCGAAGCCAACCCAGACCTAATAACCCAAGAATGCAATTCCTTCCCAAACGACAAAAACTCAATCTCAGCACACACCGATATCAAACCAGTTAACGTATACCTATCCGGCACATAACCACTACTCACCAACATATCCAAAAACAACCCAATAGCATCCCCATCAAACCCGAATTGCGCCAACCTAGTAATCATCAAAGTCCAAGTAACAACATTCTTTTCACGCATTCTATCAAACACCTTCCGCGCAGAATCAAAATCACCACCACCGCCTTTCACAAACATATCAATCAACTCACAACCAACACAAACATGAGAATCAAAGTAACCCGTCTTCAAAACAAACCCAAACAAACTCAACCCAGTTTCAAAAAACCTCAAATCCAAACACGCACACGCCCGAATCACCGCAGTGAAACAATACTCATTAGGAAAAATCCCATCTTGGTAAAGCAATTCAACAAACATATGAATCGCTTTCGTGGGACTTTTATTGTTTGCGTAACAAGAAATCATCGAACTGTATGAAACAATGTCTCTTTTGTTTATACCCATGTTTAGGAAAATGGAAAGTGCGGTTTCGGTGTCGCCGCATTTTGAGTAGAGGCTGATGAGGGAGTTGAGGAGGACTGAGTCGAGGACGAGTTGGGAGTGGGTGAGTCTGTGGTGGAGGAGTTTGCCGAGGTGGGAGTTGCCGGTTCGGATGCATGCTTTGAGGAGAAGAGAGGAGGTGATGAGTTTGTTAGGGGTGGGTTCTGTTGGAGTTAGGTTTAGGGTTGAAATGGCTTTGTGGAGTTGTGAGGGGTTGAGATTGTTGAAGTTTTGTTGTTTATGTGATGATGATGATGAGTTGGGATTTTTGAGATTGAGATGAGAAGAAAGAGGAAGAGATAGGTTTATGGTTGGGAATGGCATTTTTCAAATTAAATTGTTTAAACCACTTTGGGATAATGTTGTAGCTTTAAACTCCTTTAATTCTTTACCTCAATAAATAAATAAAATGAGAGACAAATAAATATATAATGCATGCAATAAAACTTAAATATTTTGTGATAAATATAAATTAATAAAATATAATTGGTATATAGTCAATCCAATGTGCACCAAAAATATTAATACTAATAAACAATATTATTTTTCATATTAAAAAATAATACTTTTGGTGAGAAAAACCATCAAAATGTCCTAATAAACAATATTTATTAGTATTACCATGATATGGGAGTTAGTGAGTCTAACTTGAGATAAAATTAGGGCACAGATGGAGTTGAATAACATCTTGTTATTGAACCAAATTGAGTTCCTGGCCATCCATATGGCATTAAGCAGATAAATAAAGGTACATTGATATGATCTGGATGTGTTGCCAAATGAGCATAACTCTTCTTAGGAATTGAAACACAGATTGACATTGGTTAATTTACCCAACCAAGACCATATATATGTTTACTGCAAATAGGGCTGGCAATGAACCAAACCAACTCGAACATAGTTCGAAGTTCGATTCGATAACTAGATCGTTGAACTTGGTTCATGAACCAAATGAGCTGAATATGAGCCAAAAATTAAGTTCGTTAATTAAATGAGCTGAACTTGAACTATGTATAGTTCGACTCGTTAGGTTCATGAGTCAACTCGATTGTTATTAATATATATATATATATATATATATATATATATATATATATATATATATATATATATATATATATATATATATATATATATATATATATATATATATATATATATATATATATATATATATATATATATATATATATATATATATATATATATATATATATATATATATATATATATATATATATATATAAAAGTTATATATCTTAATAGTATCATTTAAAAAAATTAATTTATAGATTTTAATCTTTTAACTTATCAAATTAAATATATAAAAAAATATTTCTAACTTTTTTTTACCCAAAAAAATTCTTCTAATTTATAAAAAGAAACATATATAGGTGACTTTTAAAACTCTTTAAAATAACATTTTTTAAATAATATAGCATTTATCATATCTTTTAATTTATATCCTTTTGTATTCTTTTTTGACTTTATTATTATTAACTATTTTTAAAATTTTAAATAAGCACATTTATTAGGATTGCATTTACCAAAAACAAAACATTTAATCTTCTTTTTAGGTTTAAGAGAATTTCATTCATTTTATATATATATAATGTTTTAAATTATATATCTTAATAGTATCATTTAAAAAAATTAATGCATAAATTTTAACCTTTTAACTTATCAAATTAAATATTTAAAAAAATACTTTTAACTTTTTTTTTATCCAAAAAAATTCTTCTATCTTATAAAAAGAAACATATACACATGACTTTTAAAAATCTTTAAAATAACAATTTTTAAATATTACAGCATTTATCATATCTTTTAATTTATATCCTTTTGTATTCTTTTTTTACTTTATTATTATTAACTATTTTTAAGATTTTAAATAAGCACATTTATTAGAATTGCATTTACCAAAAACAAAACCTTTAATCTCCTTTTTAGGTTTAAGAGAATTTCATTCATTTTATATATATAATGTTTTAAATTATATATCTTAATAGTATCATTTAAAAAAATTAATGCATAGATTTTAACATTTTAACTTATCAAATTAAATATTTAAAAAAATACTTTTAACTTTTTTTTTACCCAAAAAAAATCTTCTATCTTATAAAAAGAAACATATACACATGACTTTTAAAAATCTTTAAAATAACAATTTTTAAATATTACAGCATTTATCATATCTTTTAATTTATATCTTTTTGTATTCTTTTTTTACTT